TTATTTCCAAGTCACAAAACTGCAACGTATATGTATCTTGTTAAACTAATCTCTTCTAGTTTGAATTAGGTGAAAGGTAAACTACAATAAATATCGCTTTGAATGAATCCCAAAGCAAGTTTTTCCTTGAACGATGCACATGTAAAAAGTGTTATTAGAGCTCAAAGCTTATGTAAGCGTATCATTCCTTTCCACCTAAAAGCTCACAATATAAAATATGATGTCGTATATTCAGTATAAACGTCAAGAAGCACGTGTTGTCCAAACATAACATAAAATAGGCTCTGCTTAGTGACATTTCAAACCTTTATTCGAAAGCTTGTTTTATGAAGGATATGGAAGGTGTGAGATATTAGAGTACTTTCAACAAATCTATAAAATAAATTCGGAAATATGAGACTGCACGTGTTTTTTATAGTTCTATATAGCAAAGGTAGGTGAAATTTGTCGCCTTCTACAAATACGTCTACGTTTTAAAATTATGTGTAAAAGTTTTATCAAATTGAAACAAAGTGCATGCGACAAGACGAAGTGTTACAGTATGACGTTGTTCACTGCTGCACATACGTACGTACGTTCCGTCCCGATCATTCGTCTACGACTATTGAAAATATTGTGTAATTTTTCACATCTATTTGCACTGAAAAATAACGGCAAGGATTATAGACCATATAGTCTTGTAAATACGAACATAATTTAGATATCTGCGTTCTTTGTGACAGTCTTGTAAAAAAAATTAGAAAAGACAAGACTGCAAATCCGAGGGATTTGACCCGAGGGATTGTAAAGCGGTCGAGGGAATTAACATTAGCAATGCAAGCGGTGTATACATACAAACTTTTACACTAAAAAATGACTTTACTTTACATATTTTTTTAAGTATGTGGTCAATATGGACTGTGGTGCTAAGGGTCCCTGGTTCGAACCCGGGTTCGGGTATGGATAGTTCCAAATGTATAGTGGGTTGGGTTGGTAGAGCAATCGCCCACTCAAAAATAAAGGCAAATAAATAAATAAATAAATAAAAATATGGTAAATTTAGGATGGGTTACACGACGGGGTGGTTTCGTTTCGGTTTTTCTAGCGAGCGACTTAACGACGGAAAAAAGGAAGGGATAGCAGTAGCTAGAGCGTAACGGCGAAAAATAAGGTTCAATTATTATGCACAGAGCATTAATCTTTGAACCAAACGGCGAAAGCTGGCTGAACGGTATGGTAGTCTCGAGCGCCACCACGAAGTGTTTCCTTGCAGCGCAGCAAGGATCGATCACTGACGAAACCCTAAAACAGAATTATGTTACGCGGAAACGGTAGCAATTTTTCAAGTGGGAACGGAAACAAAATTAACAATCGGTATCTACTGAAAAAAAAAACATTAAGGAAAGTCCATGACCGCCTTACCATCAACGTACCTTGCAATTAAACGGCCCAGTAAAATTAAACTTACGATAAAATTGCAAAAATTTAACGGTCAGCGTTGGAAATACAAAGGATCCCGTCTAAACCACGCGCGTACTCGGAACAGGAACTTCTGGACTGGACTTCTCAAAAAGCACAGCGAAACCGTATGATATCGCTTAGAATTAAATTTTCTGTAATTAATTGCTCGGTCCCTGTCATCCTAAAAATCTGAGATCTGTTAGGTATCAATAAGCTTGTTACCTACTACATCATATTGCGCGAGTTCAATTTAAGAAGAAGAAACCCCTAAAATGTGAAGGGATGTATTTTTGTTATGCAGTTCAATCCATAGATTTCTAGTAACTTCTTTCGACAGTATATTACCCTCAAATCATAAAAAACACCTAGGTCAACAATTGTTCAAAGAGAACATAAAGAGGCATTACACCTATTACATTAATATTTAACCATATGGCCTAGGGATTCGATGAAAACGTTTCACATAGTAGGTATTTAGAAAAGTTTAGGCAGCATCAGAAGGCCGCTAGTTCGCTTGAATTTTTTCGAATCTTAGGTATAGGTAAAATATCATATGTAAGTCAGTGAGGTGACGGCTGCTGCAGATGCAGCCGCAAATATTTTAACTATAGTAAACCTGAGCGATGACAAATTAATTTCATTTTACAACCGTATAACTACAAGTACAATAGTCATATTCGCACAAATTAAAATATTCAACGCGTGCATTACGTGTAACAAACCGTATGTACATGAGTTAAAGGAGTTGACAATTTACGCTGTTATTAACAAAGACGCACCTTAACATCAGGAAAGCTGAAGCCGTGCGAATCCAGTTGTTACAGTGCTGATTATAAAAGGTGGGATTTGGTAGCCGGTCTACGAGTATCGGCCGCAAGCCTCGACTTAGACAAAGTCAATATGTCAAGATAGTTATAAGAATGGGCGCCACTTGAATTACCTAGCTGACTTTGATAGACTCTTACCGCCTCTAAAGAAAATGCGAAAATGAATTGATGTTGAAGAATCTTTAAATATTAAGTAAAATACAAACGGAATGAACAAATAATAATAATTTTTACTGGCATGTTATTGTGTAAGGCACCTACATTTGTCAAATGACAGATGGAATAAAAAAAAGATAAATAAAGGACTAAGATAAGATTTCTGCAATAGAAACAATATCATAAATCAACGAAAGAAATTATACTTAAATCGATATAATTACCTACTCAAGCAATTTACCTAATCAAAACCGTACGTATATTCTTATTTACTGCAAAAATTTGAACGAAAAGGGAAGGTACTTATGTACACCCCAGAAGTCCGATGCTGATCGTTTCAAGAGTATTTAGTTAAAGAAATAATTAAACGTAGATACCTATATAACCTTCGAGCAATCTCGAATAAGTAACATTAACAAGATATGGAGAATCGCATACGATTTACAGTAGGGGAATTTTTTGCCACTCAACTGGCATTCGGAAACCCAAGTTTTAATCCGGCTCGTATTCAAAAGCACTGATTCTTCAATGCATAGAAATCGATTGGCGAAGGTTTGACGTCGCTATCTCCTTTCGTTCTCATGTTAGACGAGAAACAAACGCGCAGAAGCACAAAACCATCATATAAGGGAATTTTTTTTGTTTTGAAAAATTACGCTAAAAATTAAACATTACCTACACATTACCCAAACCAAAAACTAGTTCATGAAATTGTAATAAAATCACATTTAACTGTTACATACTTAAAGTAAAAGCGAATGGGTCCACTAACCTAGCAGAGCAAGGTCAGCAGAACACAATCAAACATATTGCATAATTAGGTGCTAATTAAGTGTCTTATCCCCGAATTAAATGCTCCTTTTTTTTAA